CAAAGCTCCAGGCTCATTCTGGACACTAGAGGTAGAGTTGACATTTGAGGAGACTGGGTGCATTCAAGGAGAAGCATCTACAAGCCCCACACTGCTTTCAAGCCCCGTGTTTGCTTTGTCTGCCATGGTGGTTCTCAGGGCCAGTCATGTGCTCCTTGAAAAGGAGGTAGTTTCTAGTCACATGCATTTGGGGAATGTTGACATAAGTAGTTTTTTTTCTGTACATTTCTTAATCTTTAATGCTAAATGCTCGCTTGGTGCTTCCACATGGCTGCTTTTCACAAGCTGATTTGATCAAGGAAGCATTTCTCAGGGCCCCCAAAAAGCAAACCCCTGATTGGCAGAGTCTGGGTGAGATGGTCTGCTTTTGAGGTCTTTACTGTAACTCATTTCTAAAAATTGCCATTGGGGCTCTTGTCTACACTTGGGGGAATTACAGAAGGTTCTAGATGCATCATTGCTTCCTGCACCTCAGCTCTCCTGTACATTCTCCAGGCCTGACTTTCAGCTAGTTGAGCTGCTTGTTGAGTGCCATAACCAGAAGTTGCTTGGTTTACAGGTTAGCGTCAAAACAAAACGTTGACCCCTATCCTGTGAGCACGGTGGTGCCGTGAGGCAGGCTCCTCGGAAGGCCTCTGTGTGCCGTCGGTGGCGGTGTGTCCAGCTCTTATGGCCGGAATGCTGTGTGTTTGGTGATGTGACTGCTGGTGAGTTCTGAGTTGTGGTTGGTTTCATGTGACTGCTGAGCCATTCATCAGCGGATCCCAGGGACCTGAGGCAGACGGCCAGGGTCTGTGTCTAAGTGTCTGCTGGGTAGCACTGCATTGGCACTGATGGCACAGACCAGTTTTAAGTGAGCCCCCGTCCTGTATGGCTTCTATTTTGGCCCTAGACCCTGGCAGCAAGTAAATGAATAAGCTTCCTGCTTCGGGGCCCCGTGTCCCCACGGTGCCAGCCCACACTCAGCTCTCTTTTTTTTTTTAACTCTGCTTTTCCCATGGTTCCTTGCGTAGAACAAGGGCTAAATATTTACATGATTGTTCAGCAGTGAATATGTGAAACAGGACAGGGTGAGTGGTATTACTTCAGATAGATGTCTGTGGAATGTCTATGTGGTGCACACTGTGGCATGTGCTGAGGGCAAATGCTGTGTGGGCTCTCTGGCTCGCAGACAGGTAGCCGCGGTGGGCCATTGGATGTCAGGGTGGAAGTTCGAGGCAGGCCACGAGAACGCCGAGGATCTGTCTGAGTCAGACTGGGAGCTCCAGGGGACGGTGTCTGCGTGGGAATGCGTGTTGGTTCCAGCGCATTGGATCAAGTGCTCCCTTGCTAACAGAAAGTCAGTGGGTGAATCCATCTAGCTCCACAAGAGAGAGCTGAGGCATTTGTTTCCTCTGAGGGTTTATAGCCTGGGGGAGACTGGGCCGTCCGTGTCATAGTGCCGGTTTGCTGTGTATCACAGCCTACTCCACGTGCTGCATGAGTACAAGAAAGTCAGCGTTCATGGTGCCATCATTCATACTCGAATGTCAGCCACCGACAAAGGAGCTCTGATGGCCTCTTGAGGAAGGAGCTATACTGCTAACCTGAAGCCAGTTGTTCTAATCTCCCAGCTATTCCACAGGAGAAAAACAGGCAAGCAGTCTTCTACCAGTGCAGTTTACTGCCTTCGAAAACCTGCTGGAGGGTCAGCTGTTGGTCGGTTTGCCTCAACAGTGCATAACAACAAGATGGACTGATAAAGAATTGGCACTGCCAACTCAAAGGCAGGAGATTTCAGTCTACTAACTGCTTTGTGGGAGAAAGATGGGCAGTCTTCTGTGATATTTATAGCCTCTGAAAACCCCCTGGATCATCAGAGATGCGTCACCTCTGACTTGATGGCGCACCAACAACATGAACCAACACCATGTACCTTTAAAGTTTGGACCCACCCAGTGGTGCTTCAGAAGAAAGTCTCTGTGGTCGACTTCTGTAAAGACTGCTGTTAAAGCACCGGCTCGTTCCCTAGTCACAGGGCAGAGTAGAACCAGCTCGTGCAGATCATCATGTCTTTTCTGCTCTCGAACCACTTGTGAATTCAAACCACTGATTTTTCCTTCATTTTGCAGCTGAACATTAACCATCGTGCCACCAGAGTTCCTTGCTATATAGAGACTGCAGTCAGGAAAACCTATGGAACAGTTCAGTTTTGTGAAATGTGGGGTCTCCGGTGAGTCAGAATAACTCACTGGCAGTGGGTTGATTTGTTTTCATGTAAAAGCAGGTATCTAGCATGGGAGGTGGGCATAGGTGTGCAGGAGTCACGACATGCAGGTGTGAGGTGAAGGAGTGGCAGGAGGGAGGCCTCCGCAGGATCTGGGCGTTTAGGCCGAGGAAATTCCACAGGCCTCTGACTGTGCTTGTCCACCTTTCTGTGAGGCATCAGCAGAAAAAAGACGGTAAATCAGACTGGCAGGGGTGGCAGCATTGGGGCAAAGTTACTTAGGGAGGATGTGATTGGATTTCACCCTCCTGCCTCCACAGAGCTGGGACCCCATGGACCTTCCCCTACTGCCCTTGATGCCCTACACAGTTTCCTCCCTTTGCCTCGGTCCTCTTTCATAGCCTTTCATCCCTGGTATGTGGGCCGAAAGGACCTGAATTCATGGCTGGAGCTAATGCCACTCATTTCCTGTCCCAGGGCAGCTGGGCCTCCTGGGCTTGCAGGAGCTCTGTCATCACCCTCTGTGCCTGCAGATCTGGCATGGTTCTCACCCTCACAGCCGACTTCTTGCTCCTTCTAGTCATTCTTCTGTCATCTGCCACCAAATGCCTTTTCCTGGTGCCTCTACTCATTCCATCATCTGATTAATCGCTGCATCCTACAATATGCCAGGAACTCTCCTCGGCTTATGGGTGCCCATGTGGAGTCCAGCACACATGAAGAGATGCAAACCAGTCTTGACTTGTGTTTTCTGGGAAAGAGGAGACGGACTAGAAGGTGTCCAGGATGGCTGTCCCTGTGAAGTGAAAGAAAGCCTGTTAGCCTCTCGGACTGACGTAAGGCTGCATCAGAGGACCTGAGGATAGTCTGTTTCCTTACTTCCACAGGGACTGCACCAGCCTCTTCCGGGCTGAGTCTGTTAGTGACAAATGGGAGAAAGCTAAGCTTTAAATGGACTAACATTTACCAGTAAACTGTAGAAGAAGGTGAGTCTGGGCATTGAGCCACATCACCAGTGTGCACTTATCTCCATCCCAGACCTGTGGGGTGACCAGCAGCTGCTGGCAGTTCCCAGTGTGTATGCCACAACCCAGAGCACTGAACAGGTCCTGAGCCCAGGCCTCCATGCCTTCTTTGCCAGGCCCACATACCCAGCCACACTGAATGCTGAGGCTGAATCTAGCTCCATCTGGACCTGATGGGCAGAGGAAGGGCAGTGCCCTACAGAAAGTGAGTAGGGAGTGCTAAGCTGGCCAAGAGTCTGGGCAGGAGTGTGAGGAGGGCCCTGCAGGGTTCCTGAGTGGACATGGCATGGGTAAACTGCTCTCTGCCCTGACCGCTCCAGCTTCTCTTTGATATAACTGTTGCCTGACATTTCATCCATTTGTCAGGTTTGTGGAACAGATGCTGTGACGTATGCTGGGGGTGATGATGATAACAGGGACCTGGGGAGCTGTGTTACCCCCTCCAATCTTTGTGGGTATCCTTTGGGAGGGCTGTTTCAGTGGCTCAGACCTGAGGGTAGGAAGTTGGCCACCGCATGGGACCAGCTCTCCCATTCCTTTATGAGTGAGGGGATGATTTCCTTTTGATCATCTTTGTTCCAGCACATTCTCTCCTCAGACCTTGTGTCATGAGTGATGGTAGCTACCACTTAACTGGTCTCCCTGCAATATGCCTCACGACTCTCCAGTATCTTCTTAATTTAAATCTAAAACCCTTGCTCCTTAAGTCAGTGCCTTGCCGAAACCTTACAGCAGCCCTACTCTGTCCCAGTCCCATTGCCCCACCCACCTCACATCTGCTGTCCTCCGTGCTGGGGACCCCAGTACAGTCAGCTTTTCTCAGGAACCTGCCCATGACACTAGACCAAGCTAGTCCCCATCACAGTGTATCTTCTCAAACTGTGTCCCCTCCCACAAAGCATTTGTCTGGAGTTGATCATTTGTTGTAAACTGCTCCCCACTAGTGTGAGAGCTGCCTCAGAGCCAATCTCTGTCTAAATCCGCTCGCCCCTTGTCACCACATAGCAGAAGCTCACACAACCCAGTCCCTGTGGCTCTGTGTCCACTTCCCATCTTAGGTCCCTTCCTGCCAGAGGAAGCCTAGTACACCCACAGGTTCACCAGAGTGTACCCTAATCCGACTACATCCTCTGCCTGAGGCTGTCAGGCAGGCACTGGGCCACTCCACAGGGGCTGGCAGGGCTTCCTGGACAGCACCCGCTTGGACTCTTGGCAAAGGACTGTGGGACTGGCTGCCCTTATAGGAAAGCACCTCCCTGTCCTGTCACATGAGCACTGTCCAGGATGGTCACACTAGGCTGCACATCATGTATCAGGCGCAGCCTGCCGGGTCAGCTCTCCTTAGAGCACAAGCGATGTGCTCAGGCTTGCTGAGGGGTGCCCTCTGGCCTCATCTGGCAAATCAGAAAACAAATTACTAATTCCATCTTCATTTGAAAATTAGAGATGCCCCATGAAGATCAGGCGCCTCTAAGCCAAGTTCCTTTGGGGCTCCAGGTGAGGGAGCTGCCTGATGCCGTCCTGCCAGCCCCTGCCCCTTCCCCAGCTCCCATGCTTATCTCTTGTTCTCAAAACTTGTTAGTGCCATCAATACGTGCAAGAAAAGAATACGCATCTCTTAAGCACTGAGTGCATCTGTTGTTCAAGAAACTGTTCTACCTGATTTAGAGTTATGTGTTCCTGGTTAAACATGTTTTTTAAAAATGTAGTTTTCTTTACTGTGTGACTATAGTGTCGAGGAGGAAAAAAAATAATTTCTCTTTTTGCAGAAAAGCCTGCCATTGCTCCGCCCGTCTTTGTGTTTCAGAAGGATAAAGGACAAAAGGTAAGGTCGGTCTGTTCTCTCTCACACCCTTCCTCTGATTTGTTCCCTGGCAGCAGGGCCATTAAGCCTTCCCGGCAGCTTGGAGAAACAGATCTCGTGGCTTTTCGAGTGGTGAGGAGAGGCTAGAGAGCAGCGTGGTGGCGGTGTCTGACACTTCCAGCTAGTTTCTTAAGGGCTGGTTTCAGAAATGCCTCAGTGCCATAGGGACGCCAGCAGACCGAAAGGATGGGAAAGAAGAGGGAGAGAGGGAAACGGCAGGCATGCAGGAGAGCACTGTGGGTAAATTCAGAGAGGTGGGGACAGAATCTTTCAAGACTTGAGCAAGATTTCTGCCCACATGCACAGAGAATAGCACTGAATTTGCATGTGTCGTCTGGCTGTCCCCATCTCTGCTGGCTGTGTCCCTGCTGGGTAGGAAGTGTATGCAGGCTGCACAGCTCCTGCAAGTGACAGACCTGCAGACTGTCACACACCTGAAGGGAACAGGAGGAGCCTGACAGATCATTGTGTTGATGACAATAGCAGATACTGTTACTGGTGTGGGAGTCCCCAAAGGATCAGGGTGGTGTCCCAAATAAGCCGGCATGCTCCGGTAGTGACCCCTCTGGGTCTGTGACAGTTGTCATTGGATGTCTCCTGCAAAATCTTACTGTGACCCAAAACCTCTGTTCTTTGTGCTCTTACGTGCATTTGCATCTCACTGATAATATCATTTGAGTACCTCGTCAGCCCAGTGCTGGGGGTGGGATGTCAGCGTCAGGCTCCAGACCTCTAGGGAACCACTGATGCCGGGCAACTGCAGGTTGCTAGATCCTATCCCTTGGGCTGGGAAGAGAGGCCAAGATTGTGTGACCAGGATTTCCTGGGCAACAACATTCAAGTGTTGTGCCGGAGAGTGTGAGGGGGCATGGAAAGGCCTTGCTGTGAGGGAGAGGCCTCACTTCACCCAGCTACCTTTTGTGTTGGCATGGCCTCCACTGGGCCTGGTGTTTGTTATGTTCCAGTAGTAAACTTTGCCACTGTGGATCCCTTCACTGAAGAAAGTACCCAAACCTGGGCATACTTCCGGTTCTGCTTCAGTCATCCACGTGGGGTCTTCAGGATCACTTCCAGAACAAAATAGTTGCTCTTTCCTCTACTATGGACCCAATTCAAATAGCTTGCTTATAAGTGTGCTTTTACTGTGTATCCTTTGGAGGTTCAAGTATGAAGGGACTAAGGGTGCTGCTTCTCGTTTTTAGAAAGTATTTTAGTATTAGATATTAGATGTACTAGATTCTAGATTATTGGTGGTGTTTTATACAATCAAGTTGGAACCAACCCTTAGCTGACCCTTCTGCAGATTTTCAGATGCTGTTAATCATATAGGAGGAGATAGCCATCCTTCTCCCACAAAGCGCCTGGTGGATTTGAACCATGTGCCTTCAGGATTGCCATGCAGCTTCTTGCCACTAGGCCTTCAGTACTTGGATTCTAGATTAGGTGTTAAAATATTCAGAATTCTGACTAAATTCAGAATTTGGCATTTTGTTATCATTTGAGCAGCTTTTAGGTTCAAATACAAGTCATCAAAGCTAAGGCCTGCCTCTACCACCTGTTTTGTAAATAAAAATGTATTGGCAGAAGGCCAGACCTCTTCCTGTATCTTCGGTGCCTGCTTTTGCATTAAGCAGCTGAGTTGGATGGTTTCTGTAGAGAGCACATGACCCACCAAATCACAGCATGTACAGGGACAGTATGCCCAGCTTCCATTTGCTGTGAATACCAGCAGTCAGAATTCATAATCCTATAAGTTTGGAAAACTAGGAAAAACAGCAAGGTAGAACACTAGGATATCAAAGTTTGTTCAGCTGAATTGACGATGCTTCTAAAATTCCTATTTCGGTATGGTTTTCCCAACCGAGGCGGTTCAGTTGCTTTTTGACAGAGGCTAACTTACATATATCCCCTTCAGAAGACCTATGCAGATCACTTAAAGTGAGGTGTAGCTGAGGAGGGCCAGCCAGGCAGGCTTTTACCATCATTTAGAAAACACGCACACTCTTATCAGAGGTGACAGCTCCTATCAAAATATTGACTTGGAGCCAGCTCTAACTGAAATTCTAAAAATAACCAAGCTGGAGCTCTTCGGAGGCTCGCTCCCTGCTTCTGTCCCTGTGTGTCACAGATCACCAGGAGAGCAGATGGGAAATGTTCTTTTGTTTAGACAGAGAAGCAGGAGGAGTCTGATAACTGGGTTAAGGCCAGTTCCTTAGCTCGGAGGTTGCCTACTGCAGTCAGATACCATCATGTCGGGCTTTGAGTCATGACAACCTTGTGTGTTTCAAAGTAGGCTGGCCCATAGGGCTTTCTTGACAGAAGGGAGCTGTGGTGGTTTAGTGGTAAGGAGTTGCACTGCCAACCCAAAGGCACAAGGTTCAGGGCCCACTAGCTGTTCTGAGGGAGATAGAGGGCAGTATCCTCTTGCGTGTTCTACTGTCTCTGGAAACCTGCTATTGAGTCAGCTATGATCTGGGTCTGACTCAATTTTTAACAACAAACAACAGTAATATTTACAGGGAGCCTGGTGGCACAGTGGTTAAAGACTTACCTGATACGGAAATGTAGGTAGTTCAAACTCACCAACTGCTCTGTGGGAGAAAGATAGTATAGTCTCCTTCCTTAAGGATTATAACCTTAAAAACCTTATGGGGCTGTTTTACTCTGTCCTATAAAGTCACTGAAGGAGCCCTGGTGATGTAGTGTGTAATGTGTTAGGCTGTTGACCAAAAGTTTAGCGGTTCGAGTCCACCAGTCACTCTTGAGGAGAAAGCTGGGTGGACTACTTCTGTAAAGATTTACAGCCTCCAAAACTTGATGGAGTGCTGCTTTGAGTAAGAATGAGCTGCGTGGCAGTGGGATGGGGTTTTTTTGATTATAGAATCTCTTGAGTTGAAATTGAGGCATAAGAGAGGAAGACCCTTAGTGAGATGAATTGACACCGTGGCTGCAGCAGTGGGCTCAAGTGTGTCAGAGATAATGAAGACGGCATCCGATAGGCCAGGGTTCAGGTCTGTTCCTGGGGTCGCAACAACAACAAAGGCAGTGGGAATTTTTTAACAATGCTTCCTGAAACCATGGTGATGTGACAATTAAGTGCTTGACTGCAAACCTAAAGGTAGGTGATTCGAACCCCCAGTTACTCCACATGACAGTCTACTCCATAAACATTCTCTCCCTGGAAACCTTGTGGGGCCGTTTTCCTTTGTCCTGTGGAGTTGCTGTGAGTCAGAATCAACTCGAGGGCAGCCAGATGGCTTTTCATCTTCATGGAACACAGCTTTGTCTTATAAAACCAGAGCCACGCGTTGTTAGGTGCCATTGTGCCACCCCTGGTGATCGGCACTGCCTGGTCCTCTGCCACCCTCACAGTCTTTACTGTGTTTGAACCCTCTGGTGCAGACACTGTATCGCCCACCTCCGGGAAGATTTTCCTCCTCTTCACTGACGCCTCACTTAATCAAGCATCATGGCCTCCCCCAGGGACTGGCCCCTGCTGATAAATGCGCGGAGCGTGTCAAAGTCTCACCAGCCTTGTTCCTCGGAACAGTTTGGGTTGCACTTCTTCCGAGACAGATTGTTTATTCTTTTGGCACTGTGTCAGGCGCTACCATTTCAAGAGTCCCCCAGCCAGTACTGTGTCTGTCTGTACTGCTGCTGACCTCCCAGGAGTCAGGGGCAAAGTCAGGGTCATGGGTCAGGTGTTCTAGCGTTGTTTCTCCAGGGCACTAAAACGCAAAGGCAAATCTGTAAAGAGCAGCTCGTTATCTCTGAAGAAGCAAGACTCCAGGACCCTCAAGTTGTTCTCTCCAGGAGGTGTCAGTGCTGCCCCCTCGCGTGCAGTAGCCTGCTGAGAAAGGACCATCAGCAGGGTGGTGGTGGTTGAGCAGACTCCTCCCTCTCTCCAATTTTTATATTGAAAGTGTTCTGCCTCATGTCACAGAACGGTCCCGTGTGTCACTTACAGTTGACATTTTGCCACAAAAGCTGACACCTTCACAGAAGCTGCAAATGAATACTTGGCAGGTGTCCCCTAGGGCTAACAAAGTTCTTCTCAGCCCAGTGTCATTGTCATGGCCACAAGTTCAGTGGTGTCAGCTAATATAGTCTACTTCCATCTTTCCTGGTTGTCCCAGAAATGCCCTTTAGAACCGTTTTTGGGACAGTTTCTTGATCCACAAAGAGAGTGCTTGTGAACTGGGAGACCAGTTAAGTGATCCCTCAGGAGATTATCTCAGAGACCATCCACCCCTCCATACAAGGCAAGAGCCCAGGCCTTCCCAGATGTCCTGTCTCACCAAGTCACAGCTGCGGGCTTGGAAATGGAAAAGGAAAACAAAGCTGCCTACCAGGAGCTGCGGACTTTTGTTCAGCAAAATTAGACAGCATTTGTTTTCCAGGTCTTGGTGACAGGCCCAGGCCCCAGGGGTGGTGTTTGCAATAAACCGCAGATTGTGGGGTGGCCTGCCTCCTCTGGTAAGCCCAGGCATTGCCGAGCTTCAAAGAAGCTTGACAGGTTCTCCTTCGGTCCATGTTAGAGGAACCAGAAGTGCAGTGTAAGCAGCACCTGGCAACAGTCTGCGCTCCACGTGCCTGAAAAGAATCCAGGGCCCGTTTGCTAGGCTCAGGGATTTTACCATTGTTTCCTGGGAACCTTCGTTCAGATGCTTCTGGAGTTTAGCAGCATAAATAAGACTGTTTTTCTTAACTCCTTTGAATAAAGACAGTTCTGCATTTTCTTTCAAATGTGAAGGGAATTTATATGTTCTCATGTCAGTGTGTCGTTGTAGATCATGGCTAATTGCTTCCACTCTTGTGGGGTTTTTAAGTGAAGGCAGGAGGCTTAGCAAGTCATATGGACAAGACAGTGCCATTTGGAAAAAAGAGGTGGTTGTGGACATACTGTTTAGCAGAATATCCTGTGTCAGTGAACATGCCATCTGTGTGCTTAGTCCTCACCTGAAAGCATGGTTGGGGCTGTATTTAGGGTGAGTCCAAAGACTGCGAATTCTGATTTTCACAGGCCCTGGGCTGGTTGTGCAGAACACAGTTTTCCTTCCCTGGAGAAGCACCATGACCCAAGTAGAAAACAGAATAGCTCATGGTGGTGTCCCGAGGAAAGGGACGGTGCAGCATTTCTCGCACCTGAAGATGAAGAGCTCAGTTTTCGTTTGCCAGCTGCATTTCCATCATTACTCCTTCTCTTCCTAGTTCTCTGATTCAGGCTTGCATTTTGGATCTGTCACATTTCTCTTCAGGGAGAGAAAAAAAAAATCAAGTGGTTCTCATTAGTCATGGTCAGCTGGGCTCCAAGCTCTGGGTTCATTTTCTCTCTGGAGGTGTTTGATCCCTAGCCGTGAAGATTGAGCGCTTAAAGGGGCCACTTATGCTACAGGTTATTGTGCCGCCCCCCACCCCCCCTTAGAACCTTGCTGGCCACTCTGGATATTCAGAAGAGCTGGTATCAGGTCAAGTTTCCTCTCCTGAGAAGTTTCTGTTTTCTTACCCTTTCCCTTCATAACTTACTTGCCATTGTCCCATGAGTCACACACATTTCAAAGGAACACTTATACCCTTTCTGCTAGGCCAGACACAGCAACTTCTGAGAGGAGACACAGTAGCAGGCACGCATAATCATTTAGAAGTTGGCCAAGTAGGAGTAGAACAGCTCCATGTCCTTGGCAAGGGCCAGGAAGTGGGTTTGGAAACTGAAGGATACAGGCTCAGAACCTTTTCCTTAAGAGAAGGCTTGGAGTTCTAGCCCAGAGCTCTCAGCTCTGCAGTGCCCCCTCAGGGATCCAGAAGGCATCTAGAAGGATTGGGGTTTTGTGCTTTCGGGATGAAGACTTCCAGAACCAGCACCCTCTGCTAGCGGTTTTCCAATAGGACACTTTGACTGAGGCGTTGGGTGAGACTACTGGAACTGTACTGGCCTCCTGGGACCTTGCAGCCCCTGCCTGCTACGCGCCTCCCGGTCCTCAGCAGTGGCCCTATACCTGCACACAGCCGCAGCAAGGAGGCTTTCTTCTCAGATTTAAGCAGATCAGAGTTAAAGATGCTGGAAGAACTTAGGAAGAGGCTGAAGCCTAGGGCCCTGGACGGCTGCTCAGTACTTTGTGGGTGTCTAGGCCTATCCCCCACCTTTCCCGGAGGATGAGAACAGGGCTGAGGGACAGCTCCCTCTCCAGCATTTGTGAGGGACACAGTTTTAGCCCTAGGGGTTTACAGTCTTTCCTCTCTCTGCCCCCGTTGTAACCACAGTGCCATCTTTGTGCATGCGGATAGAGACCTTGCCTCTGTTACCAGAGTGCTCGCTCCCTCCCTGGCAGCCAACAAGCATGTTAACTCCATGCAGGACCATCCTGTAGTTTAGAAACCAAGGGTTTGGACCTCTGCACACCTGTGAAGCATTGCAGCCTTGAGTCCACGTCCATTTTTGCCTTCCGTCATCCAAAGGCTGCCTGGGGTGACAGAGTGAAACTTGCCTGTGTTTGGGGCTCCTCCCCCCAGGCAGCACCTGCCACTGTGCCCCTGCCTTCCCTTCCTGCCCCATGTGACAGCCTTTACATTGAAGGAAAATTGTCTTTTTTGCTCCCAGTCCTCTGCAGAGCAAAAAGATTTGTCGGATTCGGGAGAGGAGCCTCGGGGGGAGGATGAGGCCCCCCACCATGGCATGGGTCACCCTGAGTCAGCGGGTGAGTGTGCCCTAGAACCTCCCGCCCCTGCTAGTGCTCCAGCCAGCGCTCCTCTGCAGCCCGCTCCTGAAGCCCAGCTTCTTCCTTTCCCACGAGGACTGGCAGGGGTAAGTCCATACCCTCCTGGCACTCCTACCACCCAGGGGATCCCAACCTAGAAGCCCTGCTTGCTCCCAGGCCCCAGATCCACATGCAGGCAGTGTGCAGAGAAGGACACACAGAGATGGTACAGGGCTCCCTCTCCTCCCTTCAGGCCAGATGCCGTCCCTTTTCACATTTAAACTTTTCTGCCTTGGGGAACAGCTGCCCGTAGCAAGAAACCAGCCTTGCTTTCCACAAGAGACTTGAGGGGCCAGCAGCAGAAATGGGTTGCAAGGTAGAACCTTCCAGATCAAATCCGAGACCCCTGCTCCCACCTGCCTTTTTCTTTCTCCCTTCCCTGCATTTGGGTATCCACATTCAACATCCTAGAAACCCAAGACGCAGAGACCCCTTTGAAATGTAGATGAAGAGGCACCATCGAGTGCAGATTGCCTTGTGAGCCCGATTGTGTTTGGACTGTGGCCAGGCAGTGAACTGCTTGTCTTCAATCAAAGCAGGAAGAAGAAAGGATTGTTCCTTTGAATCCAGAGGGCAGTCCTTGAGCCCTTGTTTGTATTGAGAAGGCTTGTGAAGATTGTGGGTGGAGAAGATTATGGACTCTGGAGAACAAGAAATGTCTGGGGGTTTTTGACGTTTGATAAATTGGGAAAGGTAAACCTCTTCTACATTCAGGATTGTGCATCCCACCCTCTAGATCTGTCAGCAGGCATCCCTCACTGGCATGACAGGGCACACAGACTCTAAGCAAAGAAACACAGGACCTTGTTGGGGAGACTGAAAAGGCTCTGAGTGACACAGACAATTAAGCACTTGGCCACTAACCAAAAGTTTGGCAGTTCAAGTTCACCCAGAGGTGCCTCGCAAGAAAGGCCTGGCTGTCTACTTCCGAAAGATCACAGCCATTGACAACCTGGGGAGAACAATTCTCTAAAACACGTGAGGAGAAATGAGTCAGAGTCAACCTAACAGCCCCTGGCAGGGGTCACAGCCCCAAATTCTGCACCAGACCTTAGTTCTTCCATGTCTCCCTACAAGTGACCTGGGTTCTTAAGGAGACTTTAAAGTTCAGCCATATCCCTCAAACCCTATGGAAATTTGAGAAGAGATGATTGTGTGGCTAGGATTACGCTGAGCCATATTTGGATATGTTAGAGGAAGCTGTGTAATGGGAAAAGAAGCCGCTGTCTTCCCCATTTCCAGAAGCTGTAAAAATCAGGAAAGAAGTCCAGGTCCTTCATGGCTGCGAAGTTGGTTTGGGGCCATGAACGATGTTTGGAACCTCCAGCCAAGAGGTAATCTCCCGTGTCGGGAACCTTCCCAGGTGGGCACCAGGCTGGGAGAGAGGAGCAAAAGGGGGCACGGCAGCTCTGGGCAGTGTCTCCTCCGATATCCATAGCTAAGTGCCTGTGTGCGGACGAGACAGCGTGATCCTCATTCTGTATGGCCACCCCTCTGAGAGCACAGACTCTTCTGGATGCCCCCTGGAGGGTGGTCCTGGGGCTTTTCGGCTTGTGGCCTCATTTGAAAAAAAGAGCTACTCTTGTAGGGATCTCTGTCTGAAAAGTTGAAGAGCAGAGTAACAGGCACAGAGAACGTGCAGTGACGCTGCTTTCCCAAAGGTGTGCAGGGCATTTCACTTGACACTAGGCTGCTTGTCTCATCTGCTTGGGATGGAGACAGTCTTCCACCTTCTGTAATATACCCCATCCCATGGGTCTGCAATGACAGTCATCCTTCATTGATATGGCAGAGCATGCAGATTCTAAGCAAACAAAACTCAGGAGCTGCTGGGATTATTGCAAAGGCCCTGGGTGGTGTGGCCTGTTCTGAGCCAAGGCACTAACCGAAAGACGGGTGGTTCAAGTTCCTCAGGTGCATCAGAAGAAAGGCCTGACTGTCTAGTTCTAAAATATCACAGCCATTGAAAACCTAAGAGACCTGTGCAGGAAGTGACCTAGGAGCCTGGCCTTCAGCCTCTGGGCACCCTGCTCTTGCTCTCAGCCCAAGCAGTAGCCCGTTTACTGGAATGTAGCTTCTTGAGTCCTGTGGACTTTGGACAGACATGCTAGGCCTGGGAAGTCCAAGCCACAGACAGGGAGGAAAAGATGAACTGTATACTGTTGGCTGATTTATGGTGACCCTACGTGACAGTGGTACTCTGCCCCATAGGGTTTTCTAGGCTGTTCTCTTTCTAGGAGCAGATCAACAGGCCTTTTCTCCTGAAGAGCTGCTCTATGGGTTTGAACCACCAACTTTTTGGTTTTTAGTGTTTAACCAGTGTACCACCGGGACAATAATAGGGAACCTCAAGGTGGGTTGTAAGTCACTGCAAAGTAAACCCTGTGAGCCTTCCCAGTGCGGTACTGAAGGCGGTGCTCGTTTCCTTTCTGAGGTATAACACATACTTTCATTTTAACGGCTTTAGAGACGGCAGGTCTCTCCTGAAGTCCCAGGTAGCTCTACCATGACCCCACTTGCTGACAGCTCAGAGCCACCTGGGCAGCTCCAGCGGGCCCCCGGGCAGAGCACAGCCTGGTTGGTTGCTAAAGGTCCTCACTAATTGGCTTTCTCCACTGATTGAACTTGGTGACAGTAAAGTCAACTTCTGTATTTTTGTATTTTTTTTTTCAAGACATTTAAGCCATAAATCCAGTGGCATCCAATCCCAGCCGCCTCGTGGGCTCGGGTTTGTGTTTGATCCCCGTTTGCTCGCTCTGACTGGTGCCTTTTGCATCAGCGCTCTGCAGCTTGCTCTGCAGCTCAGTGGAGTTCAGGAAACCGCCTCCGTGCTACCCGACAAGGCTCATCCATCATCCCCTCTGCTCTGTACCCCCTGGTCAAGGAGGAGCTGTGGGGGAATATTTTTTTTAACGAGGTTTTTGTAATACATAGCAGCTCACTGCATTGTTACTTATAAAAGGCCTTACCGTCTTTCAGCTCGTCAAAACTTTGGCCATCGAAGGCTCAGTACCAGGAAAAAGGCTCTATAGATCAGACTTCCTGGCTCTTGGAAGACAGCTTGAAGAAGACCAAACCACATCCAGATTAAGTGCTCTGACTGAGCTGAGAGGGGCCGAGCCGCTCGGTGCTTTCTCCTCACCCGCAGGGTGAGGTGGGCCTCACTGGAACCTGAAAGCCTTGTTAGACCCACTCAGTAGTTTAAGGAGACTCTGAGCTGGGCCCCTCTGCCCTGGAAACTAGTCCCTCATCTGCTCGGCCAGGATCTGCCCACGCCACCCCTCAGCTGGCAGTCCTTTTGACACTGCCTCTCTCCCCTCTTTGACTTTTTGGTAGGAATTTCACCGTTGGTGGTAAAGCCCTCCCTCTTGTTGGTGGTAAAGCCCTCCCTCTTCGGTAGCAAGCCCAGCCCTCCTCCCCTCAGTCTGTCAGATCTTCTACTGAGCCGCAGGCAGGCCCAGGGTGGCCTTGCCTTCTGGTCTTTTCCGGGGCATTGGGAAGGTGGCAGCATGCCTTCCTGTCACTGTGTTTTGCTCTGAAACACAGCTCCAGTTCCACTCCCACCTGGACCAAATTAGAGGCCCCTTCCTGGCCTTGCACCTCCGTCCCCGCTGAGGATATGTTAGTCAGTCTCACAAGAGTTAGAATTGTGGAGGTGTGAGGGTTTTTCAACATCTGCCTTACACAAAGAAAAGAAGCGTTCTCCCTCCACAGTCCCATCTAGTTAGAGGTGAGCCCTGATTTTGTAGTTGGCCACAGGATGGAGCCAGCCCGCCACCACCACAGCTTCCCGGCCTGGCCTAACTGACAACGTGTGCACCTTTACCAAGGGACCTGGAGCTCGCTCGCTCCCCACCAGCTGCTGAACTGAGCCAGCCGAGGGGCTGCCTGGTGCCTTTGCACCGTTCTCTGGCTCTTGTCTGTTTCTTGTTCTGTTGCCATTTCACAGTCGTGTCCCCTGCAGGTGCAGGACACAGTGTATTCCCAGTGTTGTGACCCTTGCAGTCAGGATTATAAGTTAGGGAAAGGCAGAGAAGGAAGTAGGGCTGCGGACCTGCTCTGGATGTCACATGTCAGCCTCAGACGGACCGACGCCGTGGGTGCTCGCCATGGACTAGGGCAGGCGGAGCTGACGGTCCTGACTGTGCCCACCGTGGACCAGGGTTGACAGACAGGGGGAGCCAACAGTCCTGGCTGCACCTGCCCTGGAACAATAGTGTCCTGATAGATAGACCAGCACAGCAGGTGCTCATCATGGACAGGGACAGAGGTTCTGATTGTACTCATTATGGTACAACAGATGGACAGACAGAGCTACCGTGCTCACCGTGGGGCAGAAGTGGGCAGATAGAGCTGATGGTCCTGACTGTCCTCGCCGTGGGATAGGAGTGGACAGCACAGACTCACCAGTGCAGCATGCACTCACTGCTGCAGGAGCGGATAGACAAGGGCAGAGCTGGACAAGGGGCCGAGAGGGCGAGGGTGCTGCTCTCGGATGGGCTGGTGGGTGAAGTGGCTTCTGAAAGCTGATGTCATGGGGGCAGATGTGGGCTGCCTGGCGGGCTGGAGTGAGGCTGTGTGGTGTCTGCTCTGTCAGGAACCAGCCGCTTTCCAAGCCCTTAGCTGGGGAGGGGTGCCGTTCTCTGACACCGATGCCAGTAGGGACTTAGGCACCATGTCATGCCATGAGCATGTGCCAGGGTCAGTTTCCTCCTGGTCAAAGCTCTGTTGTTGTTGTTGTTGTTATGTGCTGTCAAGTAGCTTGCGACTCATAGCGACCCTATGTACAACAGCCCTAAACCCTGCTCTATCCTGTGCCAATCTCACTGTCTCTGACACTCCCATCCTGATTACCCCAGTCACTGAATCAATCCACCTCATAGAGGGCCTTCCCCTCCTGCGCTGTCCCTCCACCCTACCAAGCATGATGTTCTTCTCCAAGGACTGGTCCCATCCCTCCTTACAACATGTCCAGAGTATGTTAGACGGAGCCTCAGAATCCTTGCCTCCAAGGAGCCACCCAGTTTTAACCCTCTCGAGGACAAATCTGTTTGTTTCCTTAGCAGTCCATGGTATTCTCAGTACTCTTCTCCAGCACCACAGCTCAAAGGCATCAATTCTCCTTCTAACCTCCTTAGTCATTGTCCAACTCTCTGATGCATAACAAGTGATTGCAAAGACCATGGCTCTAGCCCAAATAAGAAAACTGGACCGTTGTGTAATTAATTACAGGGCAGGTCCCACGGGACCCAGGAGGCCATCGTATAAAGTGTGAGTCGAGCCAAGCAGCCTCCGGAACTGAAGCAAGGTCCTGGAGTGGGTGGCCTTGTGAGGGCTTTCTCGTTAGGTACTGTTGAGCCCGTCCTAACTCGTGATGGCTCACATACAGAATCGGGCTTCCTGGCCTGGCACAGCTGCTGGGTAAATTCAAGCCGCCAGCCTTCTGCTTAGCATCTGCTTAACAGTCATGCCCCCTGAGCTCCTCTGGGAGGAGAGAGAGAATCTTGGAACAGCCAAGGAGAGGCAGGTGAAGAACAGAGAGTAGTAGGGACAGCGTTCAGCTTTGGCAGGGGGCACAGTGGGGCCCAGTACTGGACAAGAACTGGACCCAGGCAGGCCAGTGTCTACAGAGCCCACCTGTTTGGCACAGCTGCCCACAGACCTGGGGCCAGGGTGGCTTGAGAGAAAACATCCGGTGATGGGTAGTCAGTATTGCTCAGTTGTACAGGATGTCGACATGGCATATGAAGCCTGAGACAGGGAAAGAGTATGAGCATCTCCCCACTTTGCTACAAGGGCTACAGGGCCGTTGCAGGGAGGTGGCCCCTTGCCACCTCAACTCAGAATCCCTGCAGGAGCAGCAGTACATGAGACAGAGTGAGAGTGGATCATTTCTCAAAGTTGGTGATGGAAGTGCTGGGCAAGGGCAGTGACTACCTAGGTCCCAGAAGCTAGCAGGCAGGCCCTGGGCTCACCTGTGCCAAGTGTGAAGATACATGGCCCGGGGCACTCACCCACTCTCACCCAAGCAAAGGGTGATCCAGTAGGAGGGGCAGCTATGGGCTGGTGACCAGCTCTCCCTTTCCCTTTGTGACCAGACTCGGCCAGAACCAGGGCGCCCAACACCCTAACCCACAGCTACACACGGAATGCCCAGCCCGCCCCGCCCTCCCTTTTCCTCCTGCACAGGGCCAGGCAGCTCTGGTTTTACATGATCTGTTTTTGAGCTGCCGTCTAAGAATGGTGTTTGCATTTTTGAAGCGTTGGAAGGACCCAAAGCAAAGAATATTGGACAGAAACTGAATGTGGTTCACAAAAGCCAAAACGATTGGCTCTGTTGGCGCCCTTCCAGAATGTGGTGCCGCCCCTGTCTGGCTCTCTGGACTAGGGGTTTTGTTATTTACAGCAGTTACTGCCTCAGCCCCCACCTACAGTTTGCAGAGCACTTGCACGTACACCTCATTTCATCCCTCCACTCTTCCAGGCAGGTGGTCCACTCAGCTGAATCATTAGTTGGGGACAGGGGGAGGGCTTTGTGGGAAGGCAGACAAGTTGACTCTTTGCTCTTCTCTTGTGTCCTCAGAGGAGGCAGGGCTTGTGAGTCTGCATTGGCCTGTTGAGTTCTGAAGACATGGGTCACTCGAGGGCCTCCTTGTCTTTGGAGTGAGCGCACTTGGCGACACCCCTTAACCACCGGCTGTTGGAAGTTCTCTGTGAGCTTGCTCTTGGGTCTGTCACTTGTTCTTTTTGCTGTTTCCTGTGGACTTTGATGCAAAGCATCCATATTCTCTCACTCTGGAAAGGATAGCTCACCTTGAAACGAGTCAGCACAGCAGAGGCAGGGCAAGGAGAGGACTCTGCTGTGGCCCGCACTATGGAACCTCTCTGAACAAGGCTCTGTGTCAAGACCGAAGCCAGCTGCCATCACCTGCTGCTGGGCAGAGGCTTTGGGGTTGGTGACACTTCACTATGTTTGAGGTTAGGAGTAGTGTGCCAGGGAACCATAGCATAGGGAGATACAAAGAAACTGATCCTGCTGTCATGAATACTTTCTTGGCCCCCAGGAGGAATTCTTGGCGTGTGGCTCCATAAATCGGACACAGAGGTTGTTTTTGAACTGTGGGGATGGAATCCAGTATCTCATGGGCTCGGGCCAGTAGTCCATGATGCCTTTTCAGAGCTCATTCTCTGAAATCCCCTGGTAGGTCATGTCGCGCCAGCCTGCCTACTCTCACCACCCTGCCTCTGCTCTGTTTCAGAGGCCAGCTGGCGGCTCCAGTCCAGAAGGGGGAGAAGGTAAGGACATCCCACAACGTGTGACTGTCTCAGGTGTGAAGATGGGAGCTGCCTGATTCTTCTCTCATTTTCCATAGATTCCGACCGAGAAGATGGAAATTACTGCCCTCCTGTCAAGCGAGAAAGAACATCATCTTTAACCCAGTTCCCACCCTCACAATCAGGTAAAAGTTGCCATTTGTGCTCTTGAGCTCAGCATCTCTCCCAGCTTGTCTGTGGCCCAGTCCAGTACTTCCCTGAGAATCACCCCTGTCTGGATCCATCCAGGTCAGTGAGAATCAGTGCTGATTCTTCCTCTCCATAAGGTCAGGCTTGCCCTGTCCCACCAGTGAGAATCAGACCTGTCAGATCAGGGCCCACAGCAGCATCACCACTGTGAATCTACTGGGCAGTCATTCTCCATCAGGAAGGAGGTCAGAGCACCCCAGGATGTAGCACCAGCGCACCTACCCCAAGAAGGGATGTGGAATGGTATGGCCCTGGTTGACCAAGGAAGATGAGGCCACATTGTCCTTTGGAAATGGAGGGTAGGCAGCGCACTGACTGATGCACCGTTAATTACATCTCTACCCCTAGACTTGCACAGGTGTGAGGGCAGCCCTGGTACTTAAACAGGTGGTGGATGGAGCGAGCCAATCTTAGAAGGGCCTTCACCCACCAAGGACCCCAGGCTAGTAAGAGCAGGAACATCCAGGGATTAAGGACAAGGCAGGCAGCCACCAGCAGGCAGGGGTTAGGTGCTAGAGTCTCATTTTTGTGCCCATGGACCTTGTCCACAGACTGCCCCCTCCAGTGGTGGGCTGGACCAGGACCTACTGCAGGACAGATGTGGTGTCTGCCCCTTTGACTCATGCTCTTTTCCCTTGTCCCCCCCCTGCCTGCACCACCTTGCCAACAGTATCAAAAAACAATGTCTTCATGCCGTCAACCTTCTGTGAATCATCTGCAGGCAATTCTGACTCGGAACCAGGTGAGCCCCAGCCCTTTGCCCTTCAGTGCCTGTCAGCAGGAGGTTTCCTGCGATGAGACAGCCAGGCCTGTAACACAAGCGCCTCGCCAGGAGCATGCACGTGAACTTGGGGGTCTTCCACTTCCTGAGTGATTTATCCAAACCTTCAACTTGAAGGTTCAGGATCCTCTGGGAGACAGATCTTTGAACTTGGCATAAATAAATACATTTACAATGTTGAAAAGATAATCGAAAGTGCAGAGTGATAAGAACGCACCACCTCCTTCCACTCTTCTGCTAGCTACCTGGAGGTGGTGATTTTCAGTTGCCTTTGAATAGCTTCCGGCTCATGGAACTGTGTGCAGGTAGATCTTTTCTGGGGGGTCTGAAAGGCTGTGATCACTTTGAGACAGATCACCAGGCCTGTCGTCTGAGGCTTCCAACTTGATGGCTGGGAGCCAAGTAGTTAATTGCAGAAATTGTTGAATTAATGTCATTTTCCAATCCTTTTTCTCTGTATTAAATTACCACATTAATTAAAAGTACTTCTGTGTTCAGAATAACTTATCTGGTCGCAGCTTTAGAGCTTTAAGGGAAACAGCCTGGTCCTGCCTGAAGAATATGGAGCTTGCCTTTTTTGGTCTTTTTGTTGGAGAATGACTCCCAAGATTTCCTGAAAGTTTCTCCCATGTGGCTGAAACTCCTCGTAAAAGATTTCATGAGCCCATTTAACAGCCTGAGTTCTGTAACCCAGTCCGCCTTATATAAATTCATTGCTGACTTCAAACACATGGCCACGGCTTCGAACTCATTCATTCCAAATCGCCCTCCTGCTGAGAGCTTGCTTTTCCACTCTACATACACTGATTCAGAATCAACCCTGTAACAAGATCCCTAGCTGATTCTAATAAATACCTGGGCTCTTATTTAAGAACGTCAATTCTGATTCAGTATGTCTCAGGAATGAAGCAGCTGAAAGCTTGCCCAGAAGGGGGGAACCGTCCTTTGTCGTGGGGCAGTGTCAAAGGGATGAAATGAGTCTTTATGATTGAAATGATGGCACCATTTTAAATAATCATCTTCCATGATTCTAAAAGCCAAGTTCTGAGCTGGTCTCCTCACCCTCCTGCAAACCAGCTTAGTTCTTAAAGGCCTCTGGTAGTCTGTCCAGCTGTGTGCCCAGGACGTTCACCTGGCAGCTTTGCTCTGAGCCTGGCGGGGCTGGGGCTGGCCGCTCGTCCGCCCGAGCTCAGGCTGGTGACCAGGCGCTTCTCCGCTGGCCAGCGTTGTCAGCCACTGAAGCCGGGCGTTAGGTCCTGGCTGTAGGCACCAGCTCTTCATCTCACTCTGTTTTTCGTTTCGGAAAAAGGACATTTCTGAAAGCAGTGCAGAAATCAGCCTTTGTTGTTAGGGTCCACTTTGTCCTGGGAGGGGGCCTCCCCCCAAGTTCGCAGCTTCTGGCTCTGGGCCCTGCTGACCTGGGTTGCTGTGCAGTGTGGAATGCTGTGTTTGTTCATTTCCACTTGGATTTCTGTACGTCTGCTGAGTGGCCCAAATGCCAGGCTGGTGCTGAAGGTGGGCAGTGCCGGCGTTTTTCCGGCATCGCCACTACCAGTTAACCTGCCCCCCCACTCCCACCCCGGGATCATGTTGTTGGCCCCGAACAACAGAGCAGTGGAGCTAACTGTACAGCCAAAGCGTAGGCACTTTGGAGCAAGCTCTAGGGCTTTCAAAAAATCAGCTAAATTGTAAATTTAACAGCAATTAAAAAGTAACGTTGGCAGGTGATATATTGGTTCCGAGTCATGGTGACCCCGTGTGACAGAGTAGAGCAGCCCTTCAGGTATCCTAGGTGGTACTCTGTACAGAAGAAGATTGCCAGGCCTTTCTCTTTCCGTGCGGGGGGTGAGTTCAGACCAGTCTTTGCATTAGTACCAAACCCTTCACTTGTCAGACCACTGAGGCTCCCTGTATTTGGAGATCCAGTTCCTAGAAAGGCTCACTCTCCAGTCCTGTTGACCGCATCATGCCCTCCTGCCTATGGCATCGGCTTTCCCGGAGCTTGATTACTGTGACCGCCATGTGCCAGGAGGGACACCAGCTGCAGTGAGGCGGTCAGAGCCTGCCGGGCCCGCTCCCTGGATGATTGGTTAACTGTGGACCATGGATGGCAGGGCGTCCAGCTATAGTCTTTCGCTCATAGAAACTGAACTGTCCCCAACACATTTGTGGGAGAGATTGTCCTTCCCCTCTGAATGGTCTTCACTCTTAGGGGAGATAAGATGGCATGGTGGTGCAGCATTTCGGCGCTGGTCCACTAAGCGGAAGTCTGCCTGTTTGACCCCCACCTTCTGTCTTTATACCACCCTATCTTGATTGCTGTGGCTTTTGTTTAGTGAGGCTTCTGGCTTTGTTCTTTTTGAAGGTTATTTTGACAATTATAGGTTACTGACTCTTTCTACTTAAGTTTTCTTATTCACATTGTTTTTGTCATTTTCCTAGTAGAACATTTGCAGGTCTTCGATTACATTTATTCCCTGGTTATTGTATCCTTTTTGATGTAGTTACAAATGGAATATTTTCTTACTTTTACACTCCGATCGCTCATTGCTAATACACAGAAGTACAGTAGACTTTTGTTTCTTGGTCTTGCACCCTGGTATTTGACAAGGTGACTTTTGATGGCTTGGACCTTAGCCCATCAGCAGGGCTGTCTGTGCCCATCCCTGGGACAGCGCTACTCCTGTCCGACATCCAGCAGCCACTTCTCGCAGCCTACAGCACCACTGTCCTGGGAGCAGCCTCGGCTGTTTGAGCCCCAAGGCTTTCTGAGACAGTCCTTCCTGCCAGGGTCAGGTTCTACCCATCTACCCTCCTGAAATGGGGAGGTCACCAGGACATGCAGGGTCTATGTGGTCAGGTAGCAGTACTGAAAGCAGGTTTCCACGACCTCCCAGAACACAACCTTTGTTGTCTGTTGGGACCTCTGTGTGTGTCCAGAGGAGCCCCAGCCCCCTGCAGGCAGACAAGAGCCCTGCTCCCCGCCTTGGCCTCTGGGCTCCTGTTAAGGACATAGCAGAGCTCTCTGGCACATCTGGAAAAGGAGTTGTCCTCCTCACCTCATTCCTAGACGTCTGCTGGTGCACTTCTCTTGACTGGAGCATGCAAAGAGAGGACTGTGGGTCGCAGCCCTGATCCCCTGGTCACACACAGGGCTTCCCACTAATTGTTCCCCAGCCTCTGGGCCCAGGCGGGCAGCTGAGCGCCTCAGGCAGCATGTGACCTACCAGCAGGAGGGCTCCCTGTGAGAACTGGGCCTCTGCTTTCGTCCCTTCCGTTTGCTGTTGACAAGCCAAAACTCCCATGCACCTGCGCTGCTTCCAGGCTGGCGTGGCTGCTGACTGCTGCTGCCGAGGCCTGACTTTGGCGCCCTGTGTCCTGGTTCTCCAGGCTGAACATCCCGTCCGCTTCCACGCTGCCCCATGCAGCCCGAACCTCATGCTGGTCTTGTGCTTTCAGAGGAGAAGAGTAGTGGGTTCCGGTTGAAGCCACCGACGCTTATCCACGGCCAGGCGCCCAGTGCAGGTAGGAGGGACAAGGGGAGTGGTGGCAGTTTGCAGCTCCCAGGGTCTACTCAGGGCTCTACCTACTCTCTCTCAAGCCCCCAGCAGTCCGGGCCACACAGAAGGCCAAGTTGGTGTGGGCGGAACCGTTTGTTCCTAGCCAGAGCTTGAGCAGAGGTACCAGAGGCCAGGCTGGGAAGACACAAAATCATGTGAGCCAGTGCTCTGTCCCCCACGGGGTTGTGTGCCTCCCACACACGATACGTGGTGCTCACACCTGACAGACATACCAGAAACCTGCCTCTGCAGGGCTAACTCTAAATAAAAGATGTTGGGGAAGTTTAATGCCTCCCTGGAAAGTGCAGTGTGGAGGGTCCTGCTGTGGGCTGCTGGGAGGAGAATTTCCTTCCCAAGCCTGAGGACAAGGGATATTGTGTTTCTGTGGGCGCCCCCCCAGGTCCCACCCTGCCAGCCCACCTTCTGCCCCCAGGTCTGCCGAGCCAGAAGCCCAAGGAGCAGCAGCGCAGTGTTCTTCGCCCTGCAGTGCTCCAGGCCCCCCAGCCCAAGGCACCATCCCAGACAGGTAAGGAACAGCACCTGGTCCCCACTTCCAAAGGGGCCTCCAGTGTCTGCCGAGTACCTTCGAGAATAGAGCTCCCAGGCCACGGCCACATGTCCTCTCAGTGGTGCCCCAGCAGCTTGCAGGCCCTCAGGAGTCTGGGTCTGGCTGTATTAACACACCAGCTTCAGCAGGGCCACCACCTCCTGGTCTGTCCCCAAAGCTTACAGGCACAGATGGCATCCTGCCTGCCTTGGTCATCTAAGAGATGGAGAGAAAATACCCTGAGATATACTCTAAGAAGTCTCCTGAAAAGTTGGGTGTGGTTTTAAGACACCGCTGGACCAATAGGCAGCATCATGATGGCTGGAGGGGAGATTAAAACTGTCAACAGCTTCATCTTGCTTGAATCCACAGTTAACACCCTTAGTGCCAGTAGTCAGGAAATAAGGAGATGCACTGCACTGAGAAAATTTGCTGTTAGGGACCCCTCCAGATTCTTGAGGAATAATGATGTCAGCTTGAGGACTGAAGTGCATCTGATTGAGGTCTTGGTCTTTCCATTTATTTGCTATGCCTCTGAGAGCAGGACAGTGAATAAGGAGGACAAAAAGAATTGACGCCTTTGAGCTGTGGTGTTGGAGAAGAGCACTGAACAGCCCATGGACGGCCAGTGTCTTGGAGAGGGTGCAGCCGGAGTGCTCTTTGGAGGCGAGAATGCTGAGACTTCACCTCACATACTTGGGGCATATTGCCAGAAGAGGGACATGGTGCTGGGAACGTTGGAAGGTCGGCGAAGGAGAGCAAGACCCTCAGTGAGGTGGATTGATCCAGTGACTGCTGCCAGGGGCCCTTGTGTGTCAGGAAGTGTGAAGATGGCGCAGCATAGAACAGGGGTTAGATTTTTTGTTCATAGGGTCACTACGAGTTGTACTCGACTTGATGGCGCCTAACAACAACATTAAAAAGATAAACAACAAAATATGTACCAGATCAGTTTCTAAAGACGTTTTAACTACATAGGTAATTGTTTTCAATCTAATACTAAATAGTCAAAGCTAGGTTTATAAAGGGTATCAGTTGAAAGACTAAGGTGTGCATGATGAAAGCCATGGCAGGTCCACTTCCTTCCAGTGCTTCTGAAAGTGGGGCAGTAACTAATGAAGACCGTAGAGTCCATGCCTTTGAATGGTGGTGTTGGTGAAGAGTATTGACTATCCCACAGACTGTCAGAACAACAAACGTGGCTTGAAAGAAGTGTAAACCGCATGCTGCTTAGAGGCCGAGATGGTGAAACTTCGTCTCATGCACTCTGAACTTACGGTCAGGACGGGCCAGTCCTTGGAAGAAGACATCATACTGGGAAAGGTGCAGAGTCCATGAAAGCCCCTCACAAGAAGCACCGCCATGGTGATGACCACAGTGGGTGTCAGCGGTAGGGCAGCATTTGGGTTGTCTGTAATGTTGTTACGAATGGCTGTCAACTCGACAGCACTTAATGCTCCAACAACGCGAAGTTGAAGATTGTGTACATACAGAAGAATGAAAATGCATAGACTGTTAGTAAAAAAGTTTTTCTTTGTTCCTCCTCCCACCTGTTAGCAGTATTGCTTTTAAATAAACTTAAAGTTTATCATTCTTTCTGGAACAAATAAGATTGTCTTCTGTGAGGCCTTTTCTTTGTACCTCAAAATTTATTGTTCGGTAGAGACACCAAGGAGCCGTGGTGGCACAAGCAATCACTCGGCTAATAACCGAAAGCTTGGTGGTTCAGACCACACAGCAGCCCGATGAGAAGAGCTTGACGCTCTGCTCCCATCAGGATGCGGGTCTGTGACCCCAGGGGCAGTCCTGCTCTGCTGCACAGGCTCTCTGGTAGGATCAACTCCCAGCGCCCTATAGCAGTGAAGCCAGATCCTTCTCCTACAGAGGAGACATGGTCTTTATGGTCCGGAAGACTAGGGGCTCAGTTAAGGGAACTAACGTGTCCATGGTGCGCATGTCTGAGGGGGCTCCCGCACCCTCATGCCTCTTTTCTCCCGCAGTTCCTAGCAGTGGCACCAATGGGCTCAGCATCCCGGCAGACTGCACAGGACCCGTGAGCTCATCTCCCGACACGCCTGCACGGAGGAGTCCCTCAGAAGACACTGAGGGGGCTCGAGCACTTGAGGTTTGTCTGTTGTTTAGACCCAAGGATGCCTTTGGCCGAAGCTCTAGGGGTCCCACCGCCTCTGTCAGGGCTTTTCCAGCGAGCTGGGTAGTGTCGCTGGTTATAACTGATGCAGGAATTTCTGCAGCATAACATCAGAGCCATCTTTTCCCCACTGCGACCTCCCCAGAGTACAGCTCCAGTTCCCATCTATCCAGGCCAGTTCTGCCAGCAGGTGCGTGGCCCTTGGGCTCTGGGGAGAGGCCAGGGCCAGAGCAAATCACTTTCCTTGATGAGTGTCTGTCTGGTGGCACACTGGTGTGACGCATGAAGAACTGTCTCCCTGTTGCCGCTCCAACCACCCTCCTCTGCCCCACTGAGTTGAACCTTTTTGCCTGGAGGTCAGTGCAGAAATTGCTTCTATTTTTAAAAAAGAAAACAAAACTCCTGGGATTTTAAAAAGAAAAAAGGCCCTGGGATTGCAGGGGCTGGGGGCACGTCTCTTGGGTAACTCCAGGAGTGTCTCATGGCAGCTGTAAAACAGACTGTTTAATGAAGGGAGAGCTGGTGGCAGTGCTGTAACAACACAGCGAGCCTTCTCCGTGCAAGGCCTGATGGGCTGTGGGGAAGCTGTTTCGGGTCTGCTCCACCCCCTCTGGGAGACGAGCCACTACAAGGCCTCTTGCAGCTGAAGTGACGTTTCCATACACATACTTGCATGCCACCTTGGAAGCACAGCTTGTTGAGATGGAAATATGAGGTCTGAGGGGCACTGTGTGTGTGACTGTGAACTCAGACACGGCCCAGGGTCAGCCTGGCCAGGGAGCATCTGCCAGAACTTTCCTCGCGGTGCAGACAGATCTGCCCCGCAGACAGCCTGCTCGCTGGCTGGCCCCCAGCTGGGTGCTCTTCAGTCTTCTGTCTTCATCTCCCAGCACTTGTGCCCCTTAGATCTGGAGTTGGATCTCCCTCTCCACTCAGGGTTGTAATCAAGGGCCTGGGATCTGCCTGGGAGTTTAATTGAAGACTTTAAAATCCCTCATAATCTTAGACCTTCGTCAGTGACTGTGGTCAGCCCCGCACACCCAGCCTCCTCTCTTGCAGGCCCACTGATGGTCCTTGGGACCCAGCAGTCATCAGGCCAGCAAGGAGCAGGCACCCATGCTCCCCTTCCTGCAGGCAGTGAAGGCGGTGAGCTGCCAGGGCCTCCAGGGGCTGGGGCAGTGCACGCTGAGGACTCCCAACTCACCAGGGGTACTGTCTCATTTCAAAGGACACCCACACTTGTGCAGGCCCACACCTGCAGTGTGAAGTCGGTGGCTGCAGAATTGATAAGAGACACGGTAGAGAACCATGTCGGCTCTCTGACAGGGGACTCCAATGTGTGAGTTACCCGGGGACATTGACCCAGGCTGGTGTTCACGCCAGTCTCCCCTCAGCTGCACAGCCGAGCAGAGGCAGGGCCAGCACATCTCAGAGCCCTCCCGCGTCTCCAGGGACACCCTGCTGTGCATTTTTTCCACGTACAAATATCCCCAGAGTATCAGCCCAAAAGCTTTTTGTTCATGTTGTGGTAATTATCTTTTATAGCTTTTACTATGTCAGGAGGGTACATAGGAGTAAGGAGCACTTGGTGTCCAGCATTCCACCAGTTAGTTGGAAGGCTTTGAGTTAGACACGTAGCCCCTCCGTGTTACATGCGCTGAGGTGCCCGAAGTGCCCTGGCCTGTAGATGCAGAGGCCTCGCGGACCTCTGTGTTTATTTGTTCTCCCTTTCATGGTGCACCTTCCTGTGTGTGTTTTCACTGTGGAGAGACACACACCCCACCACCCTAAACAGCAGACATTTTCACATGTTCCCCCAAGTGACACGGGTTATGTTCTTCAGGTTGTGTCGCCTTTCTTAACCCTGTGTCCTCATTCACAGTCTCTGTGCCCCCAGAGCCCCTGCTCTCTTCCTTAGAGTTGTTGCTGTTGAATTGATCACTTTCTTTAGAAGCATACACTGCTGTTCAGACCTTCTTTTCCAGTTGGCCCACAGAGGACATCAGGAGATAGTAGTACCAGCTCAAGACTTCAAGCCTTCCTCAGGGTAGAGATTTCAGGGAGTCAGCCAGCCTCGGTAGCTCCAGAAAGTTTGGATTTCATGAGAATTGGATGTTCTGTTTCCTGTTTCCCCCCACCATTGGTCAGGATTCTTGGGAAGTTCTGCATGTGCTGCTGGGTACTCATCCCTGGGCCAGACTCAGGTTATCTGTCAGCACAGAAACCTACCGCCAGTGGGACTGGTCACATGTCACTTCTGTGCATACCTTAAATAGGAGAAAGAGCCCCAGAAAAATGAGTCCAGCAGCACTTCGGAGGAGGAAAGCTGTGAGAAGAAGGACACCGCCCAGCAGGCGTTTGTCTTTGGGCAGAACCTGAGGGACAGGGTCAAGGTACGTGGTCCAGGACTGGGGAGCCCCCACGCTGACCGTTGTGGGCATGCAGCTGGGTCACTGTTTCCGTTAAAAAAGGGAAAGACCAAAAATGTGTCTCTGAGGGCTTCTGAGGACTCCTGCCGGCAGCTTGCCACGCCACACAGGCTGCCAGGCAGGGCACCCCAGTGGGGTGGGGGCCACACACCACTCTGCAGAGCTGTCTCCAGTGTACATGTTGAGCCCCTCGTCCTAGTTCTAGGGCAGAGAGCTCAGCGCTGAGACGGGCGGGCCACTCTACATGCCAGAGCATGTGTGCCTCGGCCTACGGCAGGTGCCCACTGCTCTGTGGGGGTTGGGGCCAATCTCCTCTAGAGCAGGCCATCTCGTGCACTGCAGGCTGGAGCTGCATCCCCGGCCTCTGCACCCTCTCAGTCCCTGTAGCACCTCTCCTCCAAGTGTGGCCAGTGAAACACCTCCAGATACTGCCACATGTTCCTCGGAGACAGCATTGCCCCCTCTCGACAACCACTGTGTTTTCAGCCAGGGAAAGATACTGCTTTCTCTCCCTGATAAGACACCAGTGCCACCTCCTGGGTGCCCTCCCGGTCTGTCTACCTAGAGGAGTTGGGGTTGACCTTGGTGGGGCCAAACTCAGGGCTCTGAGAGTAGGAGCGTCAAGAGTGGGACCTTCCCTGGCCGGGGGGAGAGCGAGTGGTGGTGTCCAGAGTACACTGGGCCCAGAACTTCCCTGGAAGCCTGGGAAGTCCTGCAGTGACGCTGGCCGGAGACTCCTAGTTGTCACTGGGAGGAGGTGCTACTGTCATCACGTGAGCAGATGCGGGGATACTGCTCTACCACTTGCAGCGCACAGGATGCCCATGTCTGATGTCTGGGAAAGAGCGGAAACAAGGTCTCCACAGACATGGGCAGGGGCTGCTGGTGGTGCTGGGTCTTTAAGTCGTAATAATGAAGGGAGTAGCGCTGCTGACCCAGAGGTCGCACCTCTGCCAGTCCACCACTGGCTCCATGGGTGAAAGGCCATTTCCTGTACAATTTGCAGCCAAAAAAAACCCACTAGTGGGTCAGCCCTGAGTCCATTTCACCAGCAGCCCTTCTTTTTTTTTTATTATTATTATTTCATTATTATTATTATTATTATACTGTAAAATAAGATATGACTGGTACAGGAGATTGCTCCCCCTTCTCCAGCAGAGCATCTGGTGGATTTGAACCGCATATCTCTGGGGTTGCAGTACAGCTTCTTTCCTCTAGGCCACCAGTGTTGCCTTAGGGGCCCCTCTTGACCGGCAGGAAATAGAAGGTGGACCTGGTCGCTGATGCTCAGCCAGGTGCAAGCTGCTCAGAGTTGGGGAGGGTTCAGGCCTTCTTGGCTTTTGAGGTCTGACATTCACGCCCCAGGTTCAGGACCAAGTGGACCTGGAGTCACCAACAAGCCCCTCTGAGCCTGGGTGATAAGGTCCTCAGTAGTTCGTACTCACGCTCCCAGGAGAGGAAGCAAAACATCGAACAGACTTGGGGGAGCACTTGGCTGAAAGAAGCCTTCAGAGGCCATAGTTCCTGTGTTCGAGGGAGCATGTGTCCCCCACACAGACGTGCCACTGGACGTGTTTTAATAGAGAGCGCCCCTCTTTGCCTACCCTGTGTATGCATGCAGGAAGATGACGGGGCTGGGCCACCCAGGATCGGGTGTGTTCCTGCGTCCTCCTCTGGGTCTTGACTGTCCCCTCTGTTTTCCAGTTAATAAATGAGACCACAGACGCGGCCGATGTGGAGAACACTGGGCTCCCCACCTCGGAAACACCAACTGCAACGAACTACTTCCTGCAGTACATCAGCTCCAGGTGTGTCTGGCCTGGTGCCGGCCGGAGGGTGGGAGGTGAGGGAGGCTGCAGACGTGGAGGGAAGATGCGTATTCGGGACTGCTCTGCCCCAGAGTCCACGCATCTGCCGCATCTCAGCTCGGAGACCACATGGTCCTGGAGCCCGCTGGGGCCTCCCTGGGATACCAGAAGGGACAGGTCATGGAGAAGGGTGCCGTCAGGATGAGTCACACACTTGAGGGACAGTACAGGGCCAGGGTAGACTGGTCCTCCTGGACCTTAATGGACACTCAGCAGGACCAGAGTTCAGTGTGTTTGTCCAGTGACTCTCATGCCCAGAGCAGATCTTCATGGACACGTGCAGCTTGATGGCCTACTGTTGGCCGTGAAGACCCCACCCCTGTGTTCCTCACCAGGATTTGGCATGTGAATTGAGAACTCAGCTCATCCTGGCTAATGCCACCTTGCTGTGGTCACCATTGGCAAGGAAAGCCCCATGAGGTGCTTCTCAAAGAGACCATCTCCACGTGAGAGAGTGGCCAATGGGACAGTCAGGATGTAGCTTGGCTGTTAGGCCAGTGGGATAGCCTGACCACTGAGCTGCACTGATCAGCAGTGATGGCTTGTTTAGTCTCGCTGTCTCGACTTGCACCAGAAGTTACAGGGTTTCAGGGGCTGTGGAGTCAGAGCATCTCTGGCAGGGGCCAGTCTCCGGCTGAGCTGTGGCCAGTTGTCAGTCACTGGTGCTGTCTGCCAGCAGCTCTGGGAGGTAGCAAGTGTGGAAGAAGGTGCTCTCCCCAAGGCCAGCCTCCTGCTGACGGCCAACTGGGCGTCATTGCCAGTGCTGAGCCCATCACTCCACTGTCCCCAGCTGCTGCCTCTCTCTGCCAGGCACTCATCACTCTCTGAGACACACACCCCTCAGAGTCAATGTGTCTGTGGAGGCACATGGCATCCTGTCCCTGCCCAGCCGCAGAGAACAGCTGAGAGGTAACCAGCCAGTGCTTGCCCCAGCAGGCTGGTAGCTGTGGTCCACTCTGACCGTGTGCTCATGTCCAGTATGTGCATCCTTGGCCTGATCCCGCCTTACATCCCCACACTTAACCACGTCTTCTTCTCAGTTTAGAGAACTCGACCAACAGTGCCGATGCCTCCAGCAACAAATTCGTGTTTGGCCAGAACATGAGTGCTCGAGTTTTGGTGAGTGCCTGAGGCAGGTTCCTGCAGAGTACCAAGGCACTGTGCTGTCCTGTAAACAGGGATGCTTCTGATGTTGATCAGAGGAAAAAGAACCAGCTCAGACTCAGCTTAAAGAAGGGTCCGAGATGGGGGCTTTGGTGGCCACGGCGTGACTCAGGCTCGGAAAGCTCTCTGCCAGTGCACCCTCCACAGGGTCCATCCAACAGTCTCCTCCCTGCCAGTTCACACACGCTGGCGTGTAAGCACTTGGGAAGGTCCTGGAAGTTCTTAGCCTGGTGCTGCTGCTGATACTGCTTTGAGTCCCAAAGGGTGACTGTACCCACCCAAAGGCTGAAGTCTGGAAGGGGCCAGACAAGTGGTCTTTGTGCCTGACTGTCACAGGCCAGGGAGGGTGCCCAGCAGCAGCAGACAGAGCCACTTGCTCCAAGGGTCAGTCCTGCAGGGCAGATTCTAGAATTGTCTGCTCTCTTCCTGCTGAGATGCTCACAGGGCCCTGCTTTTCATGGTGGTTGTGACTGAGCAGCTTATTCTGCCCTCCCAGCAGTTCATCTTTCTCCTGGTTTACCTTGAATCCAAGATCCTCCCTCGGGGGACTCTGGGCAGGCCCAGGTGTGTGTGTGAAGCAGACAGGAGTCCCGGGACTCGTGGGTCAAGAAGGGATGCATCTAGCCAGCGATTTCAGTGAGGGTTTGCAGCCGTGGGGTGATCACATGGCACTGGACAGAGATGGGGTCGGGAAGACTGCTCCTGGCAAATACACCCACCTCCCCCCCAGGCATCCAGACCATGAAGACACATCCCCCACCGGAACTGCTTCCTAGGCAGAGAAGGCCACCCTGTGTCCTTATGCCGGGACCTCGCTCTGCAGCATCCATCTGCCAGGGACCACCCCTCCCCGTCAGACGCCCGTGTCCGACTTTCCTGTCTTCCCACAGAGCCCGCCAAAGTCAAATGAGGTCAGCACGGATGCCAACAGGGAGAGCGCAGCTGCTGAATCCGGATCTGATTCCTCTTCCCAGGAGGCCACTCCTGAGAAAGGTACATAAAGTTAGTTCTGCCCTGGGGAGCACGTGCTGGTCAGCGTGGGACATGGAGGTGGGGGCACTGGTGGTTGATCCTGTCTGTGAGCCACATAGTGGAGTAGGGTCTGAAGGCAGTGGTGGTGGAACAGAAGAGACAGGAGGCTTTGCATCAAGGAGTAAAGCAGACAAGGGCCAGCCAGGGACTCTCTCCTGTATTTAAAGGCTGGGGGTCCTAGCTCCCACATAGCTTCTCCATAAACTGAGGCCAGAGTCCTTGTCGGGTTTCTAGTGTCACCCCACAGGGCAGTGGGACCAGTGAGGCCAGAGCCAACCGTGTGAGGCTTTTGTGAGCTAGAAACTTCCCTCCTCCTAAAAAGTCCATGTTGTTTAGCTGATAACCTTTCAGAGTCCCTGGCCGAGTCGGCAGCCGCCTACACCAAGGCCACAGCACGGAAGTGTTTATTGGAAAAGGTGGAAGTCATCACCGGGGAGGAGGCAGAGAGCAACGTGTTACAGGTGAGGGACGGCCGTTCCTCAGTGTACCTGGGGCTCCAGGCTGGGCCTCAGGGTGCTGGACGGACTGCCTGTGATGTGGCCCCTTCTGGAGCAGAAGGGCCTGCTTGGAGACATTCTTGGTGATCCGGGCATCGTGAAGGCTGTGGTACTAGGCATCTCCTCTGACTACCCAGGAGCCGTGACTGTGCGTCTCTGCACTCAGCTCGTTTTATGAGGGGAAGGGGTGGTCACAGATGCAACCAGCATTCCTCATCCTCTGGGGATGTTGTGTGTGTGCGTGCGTGCACTAACCATGTGTAATTGTTAGAGGCCTCTTAAAAAAACATCTCTTTATGTTGAGAGATACTTATTTTCTGAGATCTGTAAACTTTTTCTGTAAAGAAGAACCGAACAGTAACGTTTCGGGCTTTGTGTCCTGCATATGGTCTGCGTCACGGGTTCTTTGTTCTTTGGTTTTTAATAACAGCTTTATTGAGATACCAGTCACGTACCATAAAACTTACCCTCTTAAAAGTGCACGATTTCAGTGCATTTGCAGTTTTGCAACCATAGCCAGTCTAATTTTAGAACATTTTTGTTCTCCTGAAAAGAAACTCGCCACTCCCCATGCCGCCCCCGCCCCCGCCCATTCCTCTCCTTTGTGGCTGTGGATGTGCCAGCTCAGGCCATTTCACATAAATGGAATCATGTGCTGTGTGGCCTTCTGGCTCCGCCTTACCGTAGCCGCCTGCCTTCAGGGTTCGCCCAGGTTGTGGCTTTGTTCCCTGTTGATGACTGCATAATACTCCTCTGTGCGGGTGGAGTGCCTTCTGTTTCCCATGTCATCTGTTAACTGCTGTTTGGCTTGCTTTTGTTTTCGGTCTGTCGTGGTTAATGCTGCTGTAGACTTAGGTGTGGACACAGCCTTCATTCCTGTGGGTACATAGCAAACAGTGGAATTCCTGGGTCCCGTGGTAGCTCTGTAATTAACCGTTTGAGCAGATGATCCATTCCCATCAGCAGCTGCCGCTACAGTGTCTTACGGTCCATCAGCAGTGTGTACGGGATCCATGTTCACCCAGCACTTGTTACAGTTTGCCTGTCTGCTTGTAACTGTCGTGGTGAGTGTCCTCAGTGGCTCTGGCCGGACCCAGGCCTCCTGCTTACTGCAAGGCCATCTGTGTGTTCCAGATCCAGTGTAAGCTGTTTGTGTTCGACAAGGCCTCACAGTCATGGGTGGAGAGAGGCCGGGGCCTACTCAGACTTAACGACATGGCGTCTGCAGACGATGGCACGTTACAGTCCCGACTAGGTGAGTGACACGCAGGCCTGGGGTGGTCGGAGAGTGTGTGCTTTCCAGAGTGAGTCGGGGCCAAGTCCCAGATCCTGAGACCTCACCACCGCCGCACATGCCCCACACCCTGGGACTGGCAACTCTCACCCCGCCCCGGTACTGGCCTCAGCCAGCCCTCCCACACCCTTCGTTCTTCCTGTTTCTTTGTTCTTGTCTGAGTGAGATATTTTTGATTTTTAAAAGCTTCCTGATCAAAGTAATAATTGCTTTATGGTAGAAAGGGGGGGGGACGACAAACCATCCACTATAAAAAAACAAACAAGAAAAAGTTAAAAATAAATGCATTGCTTCACGTCCTTCCCACCTTCCAGTGGCCCTGCAGGACAGCGGGCCTGCCCCTCAGGCTTCCGAGCTGTGATCTCCGTAGGAGCAGACTGCTGCCTCTTTCTCTATAGCCTCAGACCTCTTTTCAGTTAGCACCTGAACGCTTAGCCACTGTGCTACCAGGACCCCTTCCGTCAACGCGAATCTCCTGTTGAGACAGGAATCTCTGCTGCTACCTCAGGAACACAGACCTATGTTCTGCTGCGTTTCTCTGTGTTGTCACCTATTTTGTGAGCTTATTTGTGTGTCACTTCATTATCTTTAAAAATGATTGTTGTCGTTGCTGTTGTTAAGGGCTCTCAAGTCACCTGTGACTCATAGTGACCCTGTGTACAATAACTCTGAACCTTGCTCCATCCTGAGCCAACCTTACTGTCTCCGACACACCGACCCCCATGACCCCAGTCACGGAATCAGTCCATCTCCTTGAGGGTCGTCCTCTCCTGCGCTGTCTCTCCACCCTCCCAAGCGTGATACATGATGTCGCACTCAAAGGTCCTTCCTTGGACCATGCCCAGTTATGTCAGACGGAGATTCAGAATCCTTGCCTCCAAGCAGCAGCCTCCTTTCACCCACTCCAGGACGACTTCTGTGTTGCTACTCCAGCAGCATTTAATGGATTTAACCATTTCCCTGTCAGGTCCATTGAGGTGCCTCATGTTTTTGCTATTGTATATAATCCTTCTGGGACCCTCTTAATGCACAAGTTTTTCTCCAGAGCTACTTTGTTACACAAGTGTCTCAGTGAGGCTCTGCATCGCACATACGCATGTAACCAGTGCCCAGGCCTTGCCTCCTCCCCCAGCAAGAGCCCAAGTCCCGGTTCACACCTGATTCCTTAGAGATAGCCATCTTCTTACCCCTGCATGTGTGGTTAATCTCTTTAATCTCAAGAGGTTAATTTAAGACACACCCCACGCCAATCCTGCTTTATTAGCATAGCAAAGCATAGGAAAGAAGACTGTTCTCAAGTGTGAGTATAACCACAGCCATGTTGTTATTGTTGTTGTGTACTGTTGAGTCAGAACCGACCAATAGCTGACCCCTCCAGCGGGTTTTAAGAAGCAGTTAACTACATGGGAGGAAATGACCCACCTTTTTCCCTTGGTCCAGCTGGTGGATTCAAACTATAGTCTTTGGTTTGATAGCATACAGCTCCTTACCACTAAGCCACCAGAGCTCCCTAACCACAGCATAGAAGTTGAGAATCGCAGTACTCGGGGGCTCTGGGGGAAACTATAGATAATGTACACACTTTTCTCTGTGATTTTTGTTTTCTGTGTTCTTTTTTGGGGGGAGAGGAGTTTTGATTTGGGGCAACACAACAAACCCAACATATATGTGTACACGTATGACCTTTTATCCTTATTCTTTTTTTTAAATCAGACAAGGTCTTTAGTGTGTGTGTGTGTGTGTACACCATCAAATCCTCCCTCTCTTTTTAAAATAATCATTTTGTGTTCTGTACAGAAATAACCATTTCTAGCTCAATAATTTCATGTTTCATCTCTAAGCAATATTCACCAAGTCTGGCCCCTTCTATTTTAGCCAGGTTATTCCATTACTCACGTGGGGTTCCAGCCTGAACCCTCCACCTCCTGCCAGCAGTGGCTCAGGAGCTGAGGGGGAGGGCCAGAGGGCCCTGTGCAGCAGGACCCCAGGCTCTGGCTCAGCCTGCAGGTGGGCAGCAGTCACAGAGCTCAGGGCTGTCGTGGAATTACGCCCTTTGATGTCCTCTGGCCCATGTCCTCCCTCTGCCCGCTGTTTGGGGTGAGGCCGCGGGCCTGCTGATGGGCCTTATTGTTGCAGTGATGCGGACCCAGGGGAGCCTGCGGCTGATCCTCAACACCAAACTCTGGGCACAGATGCAGATTGACAAGGCCAGCGAGAAGAGCGTGCGCGTCACGGCCACAGACACCGAGGACCAGGGCGTGAAGGTCTTCCTCATCTCGGTGGGTCAGCAGGCCCTTGGCATCCAGAGTCCGGGGCTAGGAAGACCAGGGCTGTGGGGCGGAGGGTGCAAAACCCCAGGAGGGTGCCGCAGAGGTAGGGACCTGGAATTGGTGGGTCAGTGGGCCCTCGGCTTCCTGAGTGGAGGTGGGAAGACCAGGGCTATGGGCAGGTTCTGAAACCTTCAGGAGGGTGCTGCAGAGGTGGGGACCTGGGACCGGTGGGGCCCATGGAAGCAGCCTCCCCTCAGCTTATTAAGTCTTCATAGGTAGCAGGCCCACAGTCTCATTCTTAGTGTCTCCAGTGGACAGGGGCTTCAGGGGTTGGGCAGGAGGTGCCTCTGAGCCCCGGCCTTAGCACTCCCTGCATTTGTCCTAGGTGGGCGAGGGGAGGGTCGCAGGGCAGGGCCCTCAGCCTCAGACAGATGCCTCACAACCCTCTGCACCCCCAGGCCAGCTCCAAGGACACAGGCCAGCTGTATGCAGCCCTGCACCACCGCATCCTGGCCCTGCGCAGCCGTGTGGAGCAGGAGCAGGAGGCCAAGACGCCAGCCCCCGAGCCAGGTGTACCCCCGTCCAACGAAGAGGATGACAGTGATGACGACGTCCTGGCGCCCTCAGGGGCCACAGGAGCCGGTGAGCCAGGGTCCAGAGCCCTCGAGGACTTGGCTCCTTGCCTTAGCTGTGGCCACCTCACCCCTGAGCCTTTCTGGGTGCGGCCTGGCGCTGAGTCCCGTTCTGTCCACAGGTGCTGGTGATGAAGGGGACGGTCCAGCAGCCGGGAGCACATAGCGGCTGGGCCGAGCACAAGCTGCTGCTTTGTCGTCTGTCGCCCACCCACCCTCATCCCTGCAGCAGCGTCTCGGCAGTGTCGGACCGGGACTCGGAACCACACCTTTGTTGGGTTGTCACAGGCTGTCTCCGCACGTCCTGTCCCAGAGAGGACTTGGAACTGCCCGGCGTGGCTGGGCACAACCTCATCATATTGATGAGCACACACAGGACTTTCTCCCCTTTGAATTGAAATGGCACATTGAGACTTGTCACGGCTTCTCACTGGGCTGGGGGCCTCGTCTCTCCGCTCGGGGGTGGCCGCCTGCGAAGGTTCCAGCTGAGGGGGCAGAGGGACTGCAGGCTTGGCATATCCCCGAAGTGCAAACACTGGGCCTGTCGGACGTCCTGTCACGACACTGCACCCTGCCTCCCTGTGCTCGTTTGGGGCTCATCTTTTGCAGATGTTTTTTATGTTCAGAGTGTGGGTTTTGGTTTCTTAGATGAAGGAAGATAGTGTCTTTGGTGGAGCCCCGCTCCCTGTCCATCCTCCCCACCTCCAGTGCCTGGCCTCTGCTCAGGCTGGGGGGCAGTGAGGGGCCCAGGCCTAGCCCTGCAGAGAACCTTCCCTACCTGCAGGGTGGCGCTCACCCACCATCACACTGTAGCCACTCCCTACCAGCCGAGGGCATTGCTGGGTTGGTGGCTTCTGTGAGATAAAGGGGGACAGACTCTGGCCTGGGGTCAAACAGCAAGTGGGGGGCTAGTCCCAGGCATGGACCAGACAGGGTGGACCCACGTGGCCATTAGCAGCTGCTCACCCACAGCCCCACGGAGCCCCACAGCCCACAGCCACCAGCCTGGAGTCAGCCACCCGGGGAGAGGCCACCAGCCTGGCTCTGAGGGACAACAGTGACGTCACCAGTCCCTCCCTCAGGGCTGGGCCTTAGCTGGCTTGGGAGCAGCCAGCCCGGAAGAGCAGAGGCCCCTTCCACAGACCTGGTCACTTCTCTGCTTAAGCCTTAGCCACCTAGTGACAGAAGCAGACAGCGCCCGCGGGTTTGGACCATTTATGTAAGGTTGTCCTATGAAATGTATTTGGGAACGACATTAAAACTTTTAACTAAACCCCGGCCTCCAGCATGTCAGGGGCCTCTGTGCCACTGCTCTGGCAAGGCAAGGCTCGAGGACACGCTGGTCACATTGGGGGGCCTCTTCTGGAGGAGCCTGCCTGCCCTGGGGATGTGGGTGGGGCCTGAACCCCCAGATGCCCTGGGGGGCACTGGCAAGGTGGGGGCCCAGCGGGCAGGCAGCTCCATTAGGGTAGAGGGGGGCATGCCTTCTACATATGCCGTGTCCACCTGAGAGGGGTCACACCAGGCTGCACAACGGGCCCCTCCCTGGCATCTGCAGGGGACGGTGCTCACAGCTGCCAGGCACTGGTCACTATGGCCACAAACTCCTCGTCTGTGTCCACGGAGGCGCTGAGGCCACTATAGTAGTCCTGGAACTCAGCCAGTGTGACCTGGGAACAGAGAGGCGGGGACAGTGTGATGGGGTCGGTGTGACCTGGGGGGCGGAGGGGCAGGGACTTGTGTAATGGGACGGGGAGGGGGCGCACCTGCCCATCCTGGTCCTCAGAGTCGAAGTTGTCCAGGAAGCCACGCAGCGCATCATCCTCTGTCCACTCCCCACTCCGAACTTTGGGGTGGGCGCGGCCGCTGTATACCCCGCGCAGGTCCTCCACGGTCACCACGCCATCCCCACTGCGGTCCAGCTTGGCAAAGGCGGCTGCAATGACCGCCTCGCGGGCCTGGGACATGGGGGGCTGAAGGAAAGAGCATGGTGACCGAGAAGGGGGTGGACAGGAACCCTCGTAGGTGCCCACCATGCTCTCCAGTGCTCTGTACCCTCTAACCCACGGTGTGCTCCTGCCCTAACCCACCCAACCCTGTCCCTTCACCCTCGGTGCACGCCTGTCAAGGCCCCACTCAGCCCTGAACCCCCCTCACCCGCAGCGCTCTCAGGAACTCGTCCAAGTCTAGAGTCCCGCTGCCATCACGGTCCCAGCGCCGGCACACGGCCTGCGCCTCGGCCTCACCCAGTGGCAGCCCCAGTTCAGCCAGGCCCCGCTGGAACTCCCCTACGTCCAGGGACCTGCTCCTGTCCCGGTCTAGGCGGCGGAAGAACCTGGGATGGGAGTGTTGGAGGGTGATTACATGGGCTGGGGGTAGGGGCCCAGGGACAGAAAGACTGGAGAGACTGCCCACCTGGCCAAGCCCTGGATGCCTGAGGCTCCTCTGGCCACACATTGCGCCCTAAGTTTGTCCACAATCCTGTCTGCCTCGTCCATGCTGGAAGGGTAAGGAGTAGGAGAGCACTGGGGCCAAGCGTCACTGAGGTGCCACTGTCGCCTCACCTGACTTTTGTCTGTCCGGACCAGCCTCTCCTGCCTGTTTTGTCCAGCACCAGCAGCCGCGTCCTGCCTGGCAGACCTGTTGCTAAGGGACAGTGGCCCTGGAGGCTGGGAGGGGCCTAGCTGTAACCCTCACTATGCTGGCGTGCACCGTCCTGAGTGGAGCCCTCTGGGGCAGAGGGGGGCTGCCCAGGCACTGCTGCTCTCACCCCCACCCCAGTGATGACTGTCGCAGTCCCCAAACCTGGACCAGTACCAAAGGGGGAGCAGAGCCTCCGTTCGCAGAAGCCAAACCATGGGCAACACAGGATCTGATGAGGCTTTGTGACCCGGAGCTGGTCATTTACCCTCTCTAGGCTTCCCAGACCCCTTCCTCTTGTCACAGGGCAGTTCAACCAGACCCAGGCCCAAGTTCAAAGGAATGTTCCAGAAGCAGGGCACGTTTCCAAAACCTTGGAGGAGTCAGGGCCTCAGTGGTCACCACTGCTTTGTGGGTCACCGTTCTGACTCTGCTGTTCAAACATGATTGGCTGGCATTCTGCTGATGGGACAGGGGCCCTGGGATGTGCAGGGAGCAGTCACAACCCCAACAGGAAATGGAGGAGCTGAGGCCTGGTCACCACAGACCCAGCCCGAGATCCTGGGTGTCACAGCCAACAGAGGTGGCAGGATTGAAACATGGTTGCAGTTCCCAGTGGTTTTACTACGGGAGACCTGCACTGGACCCAGAGGTCTGCAGGCTTCTCGGAGCCAGGCTGTGATCCCACTCAGCAATTTTGATGTCCAGCATTCCTTAAATGGGCCAAGAAAGTCTCCACTGTTACTTTCCTACAGTATCACAATGAAGAAGGATGACTTAAGAAGCAGTGTCTTTGAGCTGTGGTCTTAAAGAGTACTGAGAATCCCACGAACAGCCAAAAAAACAAACATGTCTTACCGAGGGCGCAGCCAGAGTCCTCCTCGGAGGCAAAGGTGACAAAGCTTCATCGCATGTTGTTAGAAGATACTCCTTGAAGAGGAACATCGGGTTTGGGAAGGTGGAGGGACAGCAAGAGAGGACGACCCTTAAAAAGGTGGATTGACACAGTGGCTGCAGCAGTGGCCTCAAGTGTGTCAGACTGTGAGGATGGCATAGGACAAGGGGTAGACCTATTTATTCACAGGGTGATAAGCACTGGCATGTGTTTTTGGCGGGTTTGTAAAACATAACCACAAAAACTACAGATCTTTTGTTGGCATTTTCTTACTTTAAGACGAGTTTCCACAGTAACTTCAAAAATCCAGATGAGGCCAAGGCCTTCCCAACCTGGAAGCTGCTTTTCACTTTACCTGTTTGAGCCTCAGTCTCCACAGCTGTAAAATGGGCCAACGGCCACAGTGGCTGAGGAGTTAAGTCGTGTATGCGGAATGCCTGGTGTAGGATCCCAGTGGCTCCAGCAGGGCCATATCCAGGACCAGGGGCAACACAGAAGCCCTGCACCACCAGGAAGGCACGAAGCACGCAGCCTGCAAAACTGCCTGGTTCACTGTCGAGCACAGACAGGTCCTGGCCCGTCACCCTCAGAAAAAGAGGCCCCTCCGCTCACCCAGAGGAGAAAATGGGGCTGTTGTTCCTGCACTGAGGGATCATTGTTCTAGACGGGGCAGGCTGGCAGCTCCGTCCTCTGGGCTGGGGCTGGCCGCCGACCTTGGCCGGCTGACGTGAGGCCTGCCCCTCTGCGGTTCTCAGCGTGGGGATTCCCTGAGGAGGCCGGGGGAGGGCTGCCGACCAGGCTGGGCACTTGGGTGGGCCAAGGAAGGCACAAGCTTTGGTCCGCTGCTAGGAGAGAGAGTAAAAGAGTCCTGGGGGCAACTCGGGCCAAGAAGGGCCGGGAAACAGGTATATTCTAAAATAGATTCTCTCTGGGAGGTGACAAGGGCTGAGCCAGCCTCCGTGGAGATGTGTGAGGGGCCCCGGATCCCTTCAGAGCACCCAGGTCCGTCCTGTCCTCACCAGGTTCCACACACTGAGGACTCCTCACCTTCACTGAGCACAAGGTGGTGGCTTGTTCCCTGAAGATAGAGGGAGTGGGGCGAGGGCATGGGTCAAGGAAATTAGAAAAAGTGGTCAGGACACCTCTCTGAGGAGATGACATCCAAGCAGAGACCTAGTGACAACCATCTATGAAGACATTTAAAGGAAGAGCCTGTGTAAAAGCCCTGAGGCAGGACACTATCCAGACAAAGTGACGGGAGGCGTGACCATCTGGGCCGACCCAACCAGCCTGGTGCCCACTGTCTCAGCAGCAGCAAGCTTTACCTGACTCACTCTTAACTTCTGGGCCAACAATCAAAGGAAGGACAGTTAGCAAAAATTTAAAAACCCACCTGGGATTTAAAAATATGTCTCTTTATAACCAGTGCAAAATGGAAGGAGGCTAGAGGGTCCTGACGCTGGTGCAGGTAACATGTGTTAGCCCTGGAATGGAGGGCATTCAGCTGGAACAAGAATCGGAAAAGAGAAAAACACAAAGAATGGGACATTTCCTATCATCTGTCTACACCAGACAGAAAAAGAAAATCCATTGCTGACAAGGCTATTGCACCTCCCAGTGGCCTCTTGGGACACGGGGGAGGGGCACCCCACACAGCCACTAAGACCTCATCTTTCCCGCAGAGCAGCTGATGAGTTCAAACAGCCAGCCTTTTGGTCAGCAAGTGAGTAATTTAACCACTGCACCACCATGCTGCTTCCAGAGAGACAGAGAAGGTGGCCTCAAAGTTGGGTGCCTGAGGGGCAGACAGATAACCTAAGTGGGGCGCATCCCAGGGCCGAAGAGGGCAGCCTCGCTTCAGCTCCAGAAGGGAGGCTGAGTCTGAGACTGAAAACCTGGCTGGCTTGTAAACATTCTGATTTTCAGCGAAGTTGACTGGCTCGAGGTTTGCTGCCCCCTCTCAGGGCTGAGTCTGCACTTGGGCTGCAGGTGTAGGGCGATGGCTTTTGTACATGGTTCTGCTTCGTGGACGGGATTAAGGCTGTGCTGTAGGTTCCATCTGGGACGCGGGTGACCCCCAGCGACACCCACAGCAGCATAAGTCCCTGAGGGGCCTGGCGTGTCCATTCTAGGGTCTGCACTGGGGGATCACACCGTGGTCCCGAACACAGCCGACGGCAGGTGGTCCCTGTCGCCTTCCTCCCCAGTGCTGTTGGCCAGTGGAGGTCCGGGCCCTCCAGGGTCGCTGGTTGGCAGGGGCCCCAGGCGTTCGGCCTCGGCCAGGGTAGCCAGCAGCCCAGCCAGGGGCAGCCGGTGACAGCAGAGGTCCCGCAGCAGCTGGGCCCGGGGCTGCAGCTGCCCGATGAGGTCGTCCCTCTGGCGCACAGCGGCCTGCAGGCTGTGGACGGCTGCCTCGGAGGTCAGCAACTGCTCCCGGAGAATGGCGATCTCACTGTGGGGTAGCAAGACGGGGGTTAGGGCACCCAAGGCCAGGGATGCACCTCCTCCCTGGGTCCAAGGCTCTCCATCAATCACCATGAGGGTTCAGTCCCCGAGCCTCACCACAGCCACTGTCATGAGGTGCCTTCCTCCCGGAACTATAACTCAAGGCGACCCCGTGTGAGAGAACTGCCCCACAGGGTTCACGAGCCTGCAGACTGCTACAAGAGCAGATCGCCAGGGCTTTCCGCCTCAGGCCAGCTGGTGGTCATCACCAACCCAGTGCCGCTGCCTCTTACTCTCCCGCCGGACCCAGGCACTCACGCCCGCTGTTCCATCTTCCCCTCCCTCCCTCAGTGTTGGTCACTTGGATGGAACCACCTCCAGGAAGCCTTCCTTCTACCCACCACCCCTGAGGCAATGCTGACTCAGTGGCCCTGCAGATCAAAGAACCACCATATGCAGTACAGGGTTTCCCAGGCAGTGGCCCAGTGGTAAGAAGCTGTGCTGCACTCCCAAAGGTACATGGTTCAAAACCACCAGCTATTCCGTCGGAGGATGAGAAATCTCGTTTGCTTTGCTGCTTCTGAAAGCCTGTAGGAAGGCCAGCTCTAGATCGGTTCCGACTGACAGCACACAACAATAATCTCTACAGGAGCAGAAAGCTTCCTCTTTCGCCATGAAGCAGCTGATGGCTTCGAACTGCCAACCTTCTAGTTAGCAGCCAAATGCTCTGACCTGTGGCCCCACTTATCATCAAGTGCCGTTGGTCAAGTATGATTCAGTGACCCTATGGGCCTGTCCTATCATAGGCCATCTTCATTAGCCCGACATATTTGAGCCCACTGCAGTCATAAACTCTGTCACTAAACAATGTCCTGTGATGTTCCTCCACTCTCCCAAGCATGATGTTCCTCTCCAAGGGCTGATCCCTCCTTGCAACATGTCCAAAGTATGTCAGATGAAGCTTCAGAATCCTTGCCTCCAAGGAGCAGCTTGGTCTCAACCTCTCCAGGATGAACTTGTTTGTTCCGCTGGCAGTCCATGGTATATTCAGTACTCTTCCCCAGCACCACAGCTCAAAGGCATCCATTCTCCTTCTATCCTCCCTAGTCATTGTCCAGCTTTCCAAAGCATAGCAAGTAATTGCAAAGATGGTGTGGCTTGTATGAGGTGCACCTTAGTCTCCAGACTGACATTATTTATGTCTCATAAACTCTGTCATTCCATCCTGTTGAAGGTCTTCCTCTCTTTCACTGACTCTCCACCCTCCCAAGCATAATGTCCTAAAGGCAGGCACTTTGAATCCACCCGCATTCTCCACTGGAGAAAGATGGGCAATCTCCTCCTGGGCGACCTACTGTCTCTAAAAATCCACTGCTGGGTCAACTATGAGTCAGTTCTATACGGGTCAATGTCATGTAACAACAGCAACCAGCTCTCATCCAGTTGCCACGCTGGTACCTCTGTGCAGGTCCCCGTAATCACATCCCAGGCTGCACCACCTATGGTCTTTCCCTCAAC